AGACAATACTACACATCATTAGAGCCAACTTGTCATCTTAAAGTACGTATTTCTTTCTTTTTGTATGCTATGCTTATGGTGAAGAGCTGTGTTTCAAAGCACCATAGGCAATTTGAATAAATATTGACTTGCACCATTTTGGCTTTTTGCTTATGTGATGCTTGATCTATAGGCACCATACCTCTATGTGATATTCCCTTCCACAGCTATCAAGCCCCAAAAGCACATTGACTCTCCTCCATTTTGATAATAATACCGAGAAGATACTCTTATGGAAATCAAAACCACATTGCCTCTTTTTAAAGTTTAAGAAGAACAAGAAGACTCCCCCTAACCAGGCAGGCCTGGTCTGCCAGGAGTGGATAAGAAATGTGCCAAAGGCTACAGGCTCCTGGCACGGGAGCCCTGCTTCATCCCGCTGAGGAGTAATAATTTGACACCTCTGAAACAGCAGGACCTCATACTCTGACAACTGAAGCCTTGTTCTATATCCCCTAAGCCATTCAAACACATTACAAAAAAATCACAGTCAGCAACATCCATGGTGGATTCCCCCCCCTCCCCAGCAGTTCTCTCACCACTCTGATGTGGGCTCAGAGATAGACTCTGTGGTATCACGGTTAAGTTTTTCATTTATTTTTCCATGCTTACCTACACAGAATGAAACACTCCCTTTTAGACGCCAACCCAAATTATTCAAGAATACTTTTGACAGCTGCCAAGTAATTTATAACGATACCTTCTTAACACCTTTTCAAAACAGACCTGACAACCCAAAGGAGAAAGGCTCTTTCCCCACACTTCTATTATATAGAAATGCTGAACCATACCAAGAGGATTTCATTTCAACCAGTGTTCCTCCCTCCCTCCTAGATTCACAGAACGACTTCACAGGACCTCCCCACTTACAAAGCTCCTCAATTTACTTTAGCTTTCCTCCCAAGTCCTGAACGCCAGCTGATGAGCGAACAAGGCACTTGATACCAGGTGACAAAAAAACCATGTTTCCTGTCACAATGGTTTGTGGGAATGCAAAAATGGAAGGGTGTCTTAAGATGGATCTGATTTGAAAGAGGAGAGAGACCTGATGGACTTGCATGCAGTTCTTCATCTGTGTCCATAATCTAATTTAAAGGATAGTTCTTTAAGAGAGCAACATACTATACTGTAGTGCAGGTTTCCACAACCTCGGCCCTCCAGATGTTTTGAGACTACAATTCCCATCATCCCTGACCACTGGTCCTGCTAGCTAGGGATCATGGGAGCTGTAGGCCAAAAACATCTGGAGGGCCAAGGTTGAGGAATCATAGAATCATAGAGTTGGAAGAGACCACAAGGGCCATCGAGTCCAACCCCCTGCCAAGCAGGAAACACCATCAGAGCACTCCTGACATATGGTTGTCAAGCCTCTGCTTAAAGACCTCCAAAGAAGGAGACTCCACCACACTCCTTGGCAGCAAATTCCACTGTCAAACAGCTCTTACTGTCAGGAAGTTCTTCCTAATGTTTAGGTGGAATCTTCTTTCTTGTAGTTTGGATCCATTGCTCCGTGTCCGCTTCTCTGGAGCAGCAGAAAACAACCTTTCTCCCTCCTCTATGTGACATCCTTTTATATATTTGAACATGGCTATCATATCACCCCTTAACCTCCTCTTCTCCAGGCTAAACATGCCCAGCTCCCTTAGCCGTTCCTCATAAGGCATCGTTTCCAGGCCTTTGACCATTTTGGTTGCCCTCCTCTGGACACGTTCCAGTTTGTCAGTGTCCTTCTTGAACTGTGGTGCCCAGAACTGGACACAGTACTCCAGGTGAGGTCTGACCAGAGCAGAATACAGTGGCACTATTACTTCCCTTGATCTAGATGCTCTACTCCTATTGATGCAGCCCAGAATTGCATTGGCTTTTTTAGCTGCCGCATCACACTGTTGGCTCATGTCAAGTTTGTGGTCAACCAAGACTCCTAGATCCTTTTCACATGTACTGCTCTCAAGCCAGGTGTCACCCATCTTGTATTTGTGCCTCTCATTTTTTTTGCCCAAGTGCAATACTTTACATTTCTCCCTGTTAAAATTCATCTTGTTTGTTTTGGCCTGCTGTAGTGGGTATTTTCTGTGTCTTTAAAATACAACTAAAAAAGATAAAGGGACCCCTGACTATTAGGTTCAGTCGTGGCCGACTCTGGGGTTGCGGCGCTCATCTCGCTTTATTGGCTGAGGGAGCCGGCATACAGCTTCTGGGTCATGTGGCCAGCATGACTAAGCTGCTTCTGGCCAACCAGAGCAGTGCACGGAAACACCATTTACCTTCCCGCCGGAGTGGTACCTATTTATCTACTTGCACTTGACATGCTTTTGAACTGCTAGGTGGGCAGGAGCTGTGACTGAGCAACGGGAGCTCACCCCGTTGCGGGGATTCGAACCGCTGACCTTCTGATTGGCAAGTCCTAGGAGGAGGATATGGGAAGAGGGAAGTTTTTGAAACTCACAAGGGCATATAGTCTAAATATAGTCTAAAAGCCTATATTTCCACACTTTACTTTGCTGCATATTTCGTGATTTTAAATCTCTGCTGGGGTTCTTTCACAAAATAGTACTTTCCCTAAACTTGAATCCTATCATCCAAGGAATTCTCATTTTTAATAACTTTTTTGTTTTTTAGCACCAACACTCTGAACATAATTTGTGGAGTGATCAAATATGTGACAGAACTGTGCAAAATTATTACAGTGGTACCTCGGGTTAAGTACTTAATTCGTTCCGGAGGTCCGTACTCAGCCTGAAACTGTTCTTAACTTGAAGCACCACTTTAGCTAATGGGGCCTCCTGCTGCTGCCGCGCTGCCGGGGCACAATTTCTGTTCTTATCCTGAAGCAAAGTTCTTAACCTGAAGCACTATTTCTGGGTTAGCGGAGTCTGTAACCTGAAGCGTATGTAACCTGAAGCATATGTAACCTGAGGTACCACTGTATTATTATTATTATTATTATTATTATTATTATTATTGCATGATCCCAGGATGAGCCTTTGTGCACCTGTGGAGACAAACTGTGTTCGTTGCAAGGTTCCATTTACTTTTCTGCTCCAAGCTATGGAAGCAGTAACTTATTTTGATCTATAAATTTTTTACATGACGATCTAGCGTAATTAGGTGCAATTTTCTGTAATCTTATATACCTATGTAACACTGACATCACCATTATGTACTTGTGGACCAGGGTCTTTTCCCAGTCTATAACTGTTAGTATATTTGTGGTGCCAGAATAAGGTTGTCAGCAGCTGAGACACAGGCACACAGCTTGTGTTAACCTTCCTGCCTTCTTGATCTCTCTTCCTTCACTATGTGGTTTTGTTCTTCAGATGGAAATGAACATACTTTGAGAATAGCAGATTATCAAGTCTATTTGTAAAAACTACCAATTAGCAGGAGGAGACAACTTTTTAGCCACATGCAACAAAGATGACCTCTTTGTCAGGTCTCACTTGCAGCAGGTGATGTCTGCTTATGGTCTACTTTTACATTACCTCAAAAATAAACAACCAATTCCTTTGGCTGGTTTCCTTCCTTGAACACAGACATGGAACGTTCTGTACAAGGAAGTGCTCACAATAATTTGAAGGGAGCGTCTCTAACGAAGTTACCAGTAACTGATGCATCCATGATATCGTTTGAAAGGGAGGAGACATACATTGTTTTTCAGCAATGTGAGAAATAGCAGCACAATACATTTGGAATATCCCACTGATGCAAGTTAAGAAGGAATATATTTTTGCAACATGGATGGAAAACCTATGTAATGTATTGGTATCCATGAGATACAGCAGCAACATATCTTCCAAGAGTTCAAACAACCAGAAGTGTTATGCTTTTAAAAAATGCAACAAAAATACACTTGACTTCTTTACTGATGACTTCAAGTCAATGCTTTGGGGACATTTTTAGAATGTTATACCTTTTTAAATTGGATCCTGATTTCCTGCCAAGAAATCTGGATGTGAAGCCTAAGGGAGCGATATCACCCTAGGAGATGCAGACCTGCACCAAATCTTCATAGTGTTTCCAAGACACAACATGTGGGAAACAGCTGTTTCTTGGACGCTTCAGAAGCTATTTAAAGAAATAATAATAATAATAATAATAATAATAATAATATAATTTTTTATTTCTACCCCACCCTCCTCGGCCAGAACCGGGCTCAGGGCAGCTAAAACTAATAAAATTACAATAAAACATAATAGGAAAAGGGGGGGAAAGCAGTTAATTAAAATAATGTTTAAAATACAATTTAAAATGCAGCCTCATTTTATTAGTAGCCCATAAATCAAAACCATAAGGGGAGGGAAACATGAGGGTCAGACTGAGTCCAAACCAAAGGCCAGGTGGAACAGCTCTGTCTTGCAGACCCTGCAGAAAGATGTCAAGCCCTGCAGGGCCCTAGTCTCTTGTGACAGAGCGTTCCACCAAGTTGGGGCCAATACTGAAAAGGCCCTGGCCAATCTAGCCACCTTGCGGCTTGGGACCTCCAAAGTGTTGTTAGTTGTGGACCTTAAGGTCCTCTGGGGGGCATACCAGGAGAGGCGGTCCCGTAGGTACGAGGGTCCTAGGCCGCATAGGGCTTTAAAGGTCAAAACCAGTACCTTAAACCTGACCCTGTACTCCACCGGGAGCCAGTGCAGCTGGTATAGCACTGGATGAATGTGATCCTGCGGCAAAGACCCCGTAAGGATCTGAAGATTTATTGCTCAGAGAGATAAAGTCCAGCAGGCTTCCCTGCGCGCAGCATGCATTTCCAGACCTCCGAGCAAAGCAGAGTAAACACACAGCGACCAGGTCCTTGGCTTTCTGTCTTCTGTGCAGCAGTGTGCATAAATCAAGACCTTGCGCAGCTTTACTAAGCTAAAAGCGATTTATTTTACAGCAGCATAGATCAGCCATTGTCTAACACACAAAGCATGTCTGCATCAGACAAAAGTGAAACTAGACTGAAACAAAGAAAAACAGACCCCGGAAATGAGGCAAGGTCCCTCCACCCCACAGTAGGGCAGGACACACACTCTGAGCTGTTTAACCCTGTAAGCTCAGGTTCTCCTCACAAAGGAATCTCACCGTTGCATTCTGCACCCGCTGGAGTTTCTGGGTCAGCTTCACGGCCAGCCCCGCGTAGAGCGAGTTACAGTAATCAAGGCTGGAGGTGACTGTTGCATGGATCATTGTGGCCAGATCAGGGCGAGAAAGGTAAGGGACCAACTGCTTGAAATGGCAGAGATGGGAAAATGCCACCTTTGCTGTGGCTGAAACCTGCGCCTCCATGGAAAGGGAGGCTTCAAAGGTTACACCCAAGCTCTTGACAGAAGGCGCTGGCACTAATTTGAGCCCCCACAAGAGATGTGAGTTGGCCCCCCAACCCCATGTTGTCCCGACCCAGCCAAAGGACCTGTCTTCGAAGGATTTAACTTCAACCGGCTCCCATGCAGCCATCCAGCCACAGTTTCCAAGCATCTGGTCAGTGTGTCCAGGCCGAGTCAGGGCGGCCGTCCATCAACAGATAAAGCTGGGTGTCATCAGCATATTGATGACAACCCAGCCCAAACCCCCAGACAATCTGGGCAAGATACTGAAGATACTGAAAAGCATCGGGGAAAGGATTGCGCCCAGTGGGACTCCACACACCAAGGAGTGCCGCGGCGACAACTCCCTCCCTAGCGCCACCCTCTGTCCCCGACCTGAGATAAAGGAGTGCAGCCATTGTTGGACTGTGCCCTGAATCCCCACATCAGCAAGGCAGTGGTCCAAAAGTTTGTGACCGACCATATCGAAGGCTGCTGACATGTAAATGCATGATCTTTAAATCTCTAGACAAAAGGGACAAATTGTTGCTTTAGATATGCTATTAAAGTTAAAATGGAATGTAACCAAACCAAAGGTGAGAAAAAAAGTTTTTGGAAAGGAAGAGATGTGTGGAAAAATGCTAAATGTCATCTCAGTATGTAAACCAAAATAGTAGCTTTTAAAGGGGGAAATGACTTCATTTCCCATCTAATAATTTCATTAAAAGATGCAAACTTGTCAAAAGTTCTAGATTCCTTCATAGAGAAAATTGGTTTTTAAAAACCACACAGACTTTGTTTTCCTTTCTGACTGCTAACAGTTCAAAGCTTTCAAAAGCAGAATTTACATCAAATGATATTATATTTTTGCCTAACTTGCTGCTTCAACTGTTTCCAGATCCTTGATCATCTTGATTGCCCTCCGCTGCACATGTTCCAACTTGTCAATATCCTTCTTAAATTGCAGCACCCAGAACTGGACACAGAATTCCAGGTGTGGCCTGACCAAGGCAGAATACAGTGGTACTATGACTTCCCTTGATCTGGACACTACTTCTGTTGATGCAGCCTAGAATAGCATTAGCTTTTTTGTAGATGCATCATATTGTTGACTCATGTTAATCTTGTGGTCCACTAAGATCCCTAGATCTTTTTCACATGAACAACTAGTAAACCAGATGTCTCCTGTCTTGTATTTCTGCAGCTGGTGCAGAACCTGACATTTGTCTCAACTGAAGATCATTTTGTTAGCTTGGATCCAGTTCTCCAATCTGTTAAGGTCATATTGAATCCTGATTCTGTCTTCTGCGGCATCAGCTACCCCTTCCAGTTTGGTATTGTCTGCAAATTTGATGTGCATTCCCTCAGTTCCTTCATCCCAGTTATTTATAAAAACTTTGAACAACAACAGGTCTCACCCCTTGTCATTTTTCCCCAGGTAACGAGGAACCATTAATGAGTACTCTTTGGGTTTGGTCAGTCAGCTACAAATCTACCTAACAGTTAGCTCATTCAATCCACATTTTACCAGCTTCTTCACATGAATATCATGGGGGACTTTGTCAAAAGCCTTACTGAAATCAAAATACACTATGTCCACAGCAGGCATGTCCAAAGTCTGTCCCGGGGGCCAGATGTGGCCCGCCAGTCAGTTTAATCCAGCCGCACCGGCAGTTTCTTTCCTGGGTGTGGGCGTGGGCGGCGGTTCCACTGGGCAGTTATTCGCTGTGGATTGCTAACCTGCCCACCGGTCGGCTCTCGCAGCTGCTCACTGTGCGGCTCTTGGAGCCACCCATTCGTTGGCTCACGCATGTGCCTTGCTGTTTACCCTGGTCGTTGGCCGGCTCACGCATGCACCCTGCGTGCGGCTCGAGAACCCGTCCAGCTGTCGTCTTGCGTATGTGCCCTCCTTTCTATTCCTGTTGGTTGCTTGCTCACACTAAATAAATAAATAAATAAATAAATTTTATTTGTATCCCGCTCTCCCCAGCCAAAGCCAGGCTCAGAGCGGCTAACATCATATAAATAAGACAATATGCATAATACAATATACAATATGCAAATTAAATAACATTCAACATTCATTAAAACAATATAGAATAATATTAAATATCAGCATTTCAAAATTAAACAGAAATCCACCCAACAGTTACAATAAGTAATTTCTAAATTCCAATCAATAAAACAACAGCAAACCACAGTGCACGACATAATACAATACAAAATGAGAAGCAGAGACTGGAGGGTGGAGCAAGGCAGGTGGAAGGAGGCCTTGCCTGATGAAGTCTCTCCCCTCACACTGGCGCCCTGTGTGCAGCTCTAGGTCCTTGTCCACCCATCAGCTTTTGCATGCGCTCGCCTCTGTATCCTGTCCGTCTGCTGTCTTTCACAGGCGGCTAGCGTTCGGCCTTCTCTCCCTCTGTGCTGCCTGCAATCCGAGCCAAAAGGAGGTATTCTTTGACTAATCCTTAAAAAAGGTCCGGGGGGGGGGGGGAATCCTAAAAAAAGGTCAACAACTTTGGTTGGACCTCACGCATGCTCACTTCATCAAATCTGGCCCTCTTTGAAAAAAGTTTGGACACCCCTGGTCAACCAAGCTTGTACCTCCATCAAAAAAAGAAAAGAAATGAGATGAATTTGGCATGACTTAATTTTGAGAAACCCATGCTAGCAATGTTATCCTTTTATTATCCTTGTTTTGAGCACATTATTTTATTGGTTAGTTTTATTGCATCCATAGATGCATAGATGTCTGCTAGAAGATATCTCCCAGGGCCAGCCCAAGACATCTTGGCTCCTGAGGCAGACCCCACAATCACACACTGCTCCCTGCCGTGGGTAAAGAAAGAGCTACATCAGAAACAAGGGGAAGAAGGATTAGCTTGGGATCTGCTGCCCTGGTAGATCCTATTGCTTGAAGCAGTTGCCTCACCTTGCCTCACAGGCCCTGCCATCTTCAATGAACGATTACTGAGCAAGGTCAAAAGAATTTATTGTTGTGAAAGGATTGACTAAGGGCATTGTGAGTCTAATTTAAGAACTAATTAATTAAGCCAGGTTTTAATGTGACTCAATCAGTAAATCAGTCAATTTTTGGAATAAGGAATGGTGAGTGATTTCTCTGTTTTGAAAGATCTTGACATCTCCAGGGGAGGGCCTGCTTCTATTCTGGGGAAAGTTAATTTTCCTAGTCTCCTAGGGAAAATATCTTGTCACCTGGAAAACATGATGTCTCTTTCTGGCTGTAATTCTACCATGTCAAGAGCTGGGTAGACAGTAGTTTCATAAGCCTTATAGACCCCTGTTGCATCATGCTCAAGACATCACAGAGATATTCAAGGATTCCAGTTTGTGCTTTTAAGTGAAGTCGGCTGATTAGCATTTCTGACACTAAAAAGTGGATCAGAATGCAGTTGTTCTTTAATCTTTAATCTTCAAGATCCAACTTTTGTAATACACTTCTTGAATCAAAAATGTCCCAAAAATTGTGCATGAAATGTGTATCTTAGGTTAAAGGGCTTACTAAAACCCATATTTTTAGAATAAAATGCACACAAACCAAACGTGCATTTTGTGAAAAAAAGTGTTAAAAAATAATCCACATTTTTGTGCAGGGTTTTTGATTTTTTACAAAATAATACTGAGTTCCAGAAAGACATCTACTTCTGCTTCATTGACTATGCAAAAGCTTTTGACTGTGTCGACCACAGCAAACTATGGCAAGTTCTTAAAGAAATGGGACTGCCTGATCACTTCATCTATCTCCTGAGAAATCTCTATGTGGGACAAGAAGCTACAGTTAGAACTGGATATGGAACAACTGATTGGTTCAAAATTGGGAAAGGAGTACGACAAGGCTGTATATTGTCTCTAAGCTTATATGCAGAATTCATCATGCGAAAGGCTGGGCTGGATGAATGCCTAGCCAGAATTAAGATTGCCGGAAGAAATATCAACAACCTCAGATATGCAGATGACACAACATTGATGGCAGAAAGTGAGGAGGAATTAAAGAACCTTTTAATGAGGGTGAAAGAGGAGAGTGCAAAATATGGTCTGAAGCTCAACATCAAAAAAACCAAGATCATGGCCACTGGGCCCATCACCGCAAATAGAAGGGGAAGAAATGGAGGCAGTGAGAGATTTTACTTCCTTGGGCTCCATGATCACTGCAGATGGTGATGAAATTAAAAGACGCCTGCTTCTTGGGAGAAAAGCAATGACAAACCTAGACAGCATCTTAAAAAGCAGAGACATCACCTTGCCAACAAAGGTCCGTATAGTTAAAGCTATGGTTTTCCCAGTAGTGATGTATGGAAGTGAGAGCTGGACCATAAAGAAGGCTGATCACCGAAGAATTGATGCTTTTGAATTATGGTGCTGGAGGAGACTCTTGAGAGTCCCATGGACTGCAAGAAGATCAAATCTATCCATTCTTAAGGAAATCAGCCCTGAGTGCTCACTGGAAGGACAGATCTTGAAGCTGAGACTCCAATATTTTGGCCACCTCATGAGAAGAGAAGACTCCCTGGAAAAGACCCTGATGTTGGGAAAGATGGAGGGCACAAGGAGAAGGGGATGACAGAGGACGAGATGGTTAGATAGTGTTCGCGAAGCTACCAGCATGAGTTTGACCAAACTGCGGGAGGCAGTGGAAGACAGAAGTGCCTGGCGTGCTCTGCTCCATGGGGTCACGAAGAGTCGGACACGACTAAACAACAACAACAAGGGTCATCTTACTGGAGCAATATATTCTTACAAAATCCTGTTCAGCATAAATCTCCTCTGTCTGGCTGAATGTGTGCCCACAAACAAAAACCACAGGGAAGCAAGCGTATTTCTTTTGGTTGTTCTACAACTTTAAGACACCTTGTACAAAAATCCTAAACAACAACAACATAGAATCATAGAACTGTAGAATTGCAAGAGTCATGTAGTCCAACCCCCTGCAATGCAGGAATCTCAACTAACGCATCCATTACAGATGGCCATCCAGCCACTGCTTAAAAACCTCCAACGAAGGAGAGTCCATCACCTTCCAAGGGAGACTGTTCCATTGTCAAACAGCTCCTGCCATCAGAAAGTTCTTCCAGAAGTTTAGTTGGAATCTCTTTTCTTGTAATTTGAATCCATTGGTTTGGTTCATACCCTCCAGAGCAGGAGAAAGCAAGCTTGCTCCATCTTCCATGTGACATTCAACTTACCGTACATATGTTATGTGGAATTGGGAGGGGGGACACTATGTTGTCCTTCACCCCAGGCATCAAAATGTCTTGGAACAGCTCTGCTTGCAAATGAACACGCAAATGAACAACATGGACTGTAAACAGACTGCTCTGTCCAGCATCCAGCATCACCAATGACTGAGACCTTCAGAGGAATATCAACCTCCCCTCCTATGTCTCATCACCTCTTCTTCATGTTGTTCCTTTCCCTCTGCCTTCTCCACTTTCTTTCCATCTTCCCCACCTCTTCCATACTTTTGATTCCCTATCAAAGTTCTATTAAAATGTTTCTGGATGTAATGTTTGGACATAATATATATGTACACATATATAGGTCTTCTTCCACTCAAGTGTAAGCAAAGAAGCAGGACTGGCTCTACTGTTAGGCAGAGTGAGACAGTCACCTTAGGCAGCAGATGCTAAGGCTGGGGCAGTGATAGCAGCTGTCCAGGCACTTCCTCAGAACCCCTTGGGCACTCCCATTCTCAGCAATCAGAGTGGGGAGGGCAGCTTATTGATGTCACGGGATGGCTGCCTGCCCCACAGTCTTCCAACACCTAGCCAGTATTTCAAAAAAGGAGGGGAAGAAAGATCCCTCCAAACAAATAAACCTATGTGAAAATTCCAGAAAGGCAGCAAGCTGCTTAGTAAGCAAGCTGTTTACTTTTGTTGTTGTTCTTAAAACCACTTTTAAGTGTTAGCATGTAGATGTTATAGGTGAAAAACACAAAGTAGGCTAAAAGGGCACCAAACGCCTTGCAGAAAGCGAGTGAAGAGAGCAGGCCCAGGAAACGCCTACTGTAGAAGTGCTCACAAAGTCTATATGCCTTCTCCAACTTGGTGCCCCCCAGATGTTTTGGAGTATATGTCTCTTC